TTGCCTGCATGTATGTTTGTGCGAGGGTACCAGATCCTCTAGAACTGGAGTTCCAGACAGTTGGGAGCTGTCATGTGGGTGCAGGGATTGAACACAGGTCCTCTAGAAGAGCAGCCAGTGCTCTTAACCACTGAGCCATCTCTATAAGCTTTTCAGTTGCCCTTTTTGTGAGAATCCAAGCAGGGCCTCAGGATGATATGCCAGCCCATCTTTGCCTCCAGCACAGAGCCCTAGTCTTCTCCAGAGGAGACATGGTTCAGCCACCTAACCATCTGCTCAGCTGTAGATGAAGCCAAGGCCCTGTGATAGGGAGATTGGCCAGCTCACTCAAGCCAGCCACTCTGGTATGTTTGTTTCTACCAGCCAGGTAGACCATCTGTGCCTGCCCCATGGTGGGGCTTGCAGAGCAGTGCCCCTTACTGGTATAGCGTGGGCTCCTAGTGAAACTCTGGGATGGCCTGCTCATTGCTTGTCTTTAGAGGTGTTGCACCTCACAGTAACAAAAATGAAGTGCAGCATGCCTGTCCTGGTCCCCTCACTTGGCTGGCTTAGCATAATTAAGCTGATTAAGCATCACAGCTAAGCCACTGCACATACATGGCTCTCATGCACTTACCCATGCACTTACCGAACAATCACCTCCTCCCTTCTGCCCCATGAAAGCTGAACTCACTTGTTTCCTCTGACTTCACCCTGCCTCCAGGCCACAGAATCATCCCAGGGATGAGCCATAGTTTACTTGGTGATGTGATTAATTGAGGCCAGCTGGCTAGGAAGTGTGTGGGATCCTCCCAGCATAGGCTGTTGATGCTCCCAACGTGGTGATGCTGTAATTATCCTGTGGTGCATTTGGAAGCCATCATGGTCCAGGCAGCCTGTCAAATAGAGATCCAGCCTTGGTGCTAATGAGCATCTCTACCGTGTTCCTCTTTACCCTGTGATGCCAAGGCAAGTTCCATTATCAGCATATCTGATAACAGTGTCCTGTGGTGACATGCTTCTAACTATGGCAAAGATAGAAACCAGATGAAGATGAGGCCCATAAGCATGGTCCTCATTCCTACCCATCCTGTGTACACATCTCACTCTAGATGACCCGAGATCGTGGAGCACTTTCCTGAGTCCCTTATGGTCAGCCCCAGCTAGCTCTGTACATGCCAACATATCCAGAACATTCTGACCAAACCCACTTAGACAGCCCTGCTTTTTGTTTTGTTAAACTTTTATTAATTTATTTTGGGGTGGGAAAGCACAGCGTGCCAAGGCACTGTGTAGAGGTCAGGGAGCAACATGCAGCAGTTAGTTTTCTCTTTTTAGTGTATGGGCTCTGGGGACCAAACTCGGGTCATCAGGCTTGGTGGCGAGCACCTTACCCACTGAGACATCTCACTGGCCCTGTTTGTTTATTTTTTTATATGTGTATTATGGTGTGTGTATGTGTGTATGAATGCAAGTGTCAGAGATATCAGATCCCCCCGGAGCTGTAGTTACAGCAGGTGGCTGTGACTGACCCAGTGTCGGTGTTGGGAACCGAATCTGGATCCTTTACAAGAGCATTACTCTTTGTACACTCTTAACTGCTGAGCTGCCTTTCCAGCCCCTGGTTTTGTTTTATTTTGTTGTTTGTTTGAAACAGGGTTTCTGTGGGTTTCTATGAGTTCCTGGCTGCCCTGGAACCTACTCTGTAGACTAGGCTGACCTTGAACTCAGAGATCTGCCTGCCTCTGCCTCCTGAGTGCTGTAATTAAAGGTGTATGCCACTACTCCTGGCTTCCAGGCCCTGTTTTTTTTAAGTGAATTTAAATATTTTTTATTAAATGTATATATTGTATATTAATCTTTTCCCCCTTCTTGTCCTCACTCTCCTTTCCCTCACACCTTCTGTCTGCTTTTAGTCTCTTGTGCCCTCTAGACAGTTTGACTTCCTCTGGTTTTTAGACCTCAAGCAGATCCATAAAAAAAGGCTTTCTGTCTCCTGACAGCTCTGCATGGTCAGTCTGTGACACTGGCCTCACTCAAGGCCTTTCTGGAGTTGGTCCTCAGCTCAGATGTCATGTGAGGGATACCCTAAGGAGATGATGGGACTCCCTCTGGACTGAGCTTGCAGGATTGGGCCCTGGGAAGGGCAGGGTAGTAGAAGTAAATGCCAGACCTTCTATCCTGTAGGGATGACTCCAACCTAGCCTTAAAAGACTTGCTCTTATATATTAATTTTTAAAATTACTTTATGTCTGTGAGTATTTTGCCTGCATGTATGTCTGGGCACCACATGCACACCTGATGCTCACAGAAGCCAGAAAAGAGCACTGGATCTCCTAGAACTGGAGTTACAGATAACTGAGAGCTGCCATGTGGATGCTGAGGATTGAACCCAGGTCCTCTGGAAGAGCAGCCCGTGCTCATCATGGATTAGTCATCTCTCCAGCCCCCTATTTATTTATCCTTATGTGTATGAGTGTTCTGCCTGCATGTATGTATGTGCACATGTATATATCTGGTACCCACAGAGGTAAGAAGAGAGACCCAAAGCTCCTGGAAGTAGAATTACAGACAGTTGTGAACTGTCTAATCTTGGGTCCTTTGCAAGAGCAGTAAGTGCTCTTAACTGCTGAGCTGTTTTCTCTAGCCTGCCCCAACATAGCTTTTGTTGGTGCTGACCTGGCAGTGTGTCTAACTACAGTCAGTTCCTTGTGGAACATTGCATTTAGTGGGATGTCAGGGATCCCATATACAGCTGAGCTAGAAAGGGCCAGGGCCACAGTGTCAGCTGTGTGGGGCTGTAACCCTGTTCTGAGCTATCACTCTAGGCCCCATCTTGGAGGCTAAGGGTTCCACTGAAGATTTGGTCTGAGAGTAGGAGTTTCTTCCCAATCTCCGAACAGTTTTGTCCTCTGTCCCTGCCTGTAAATCACAGTGGACTCATTAGGCTGTGGGCCAGGAAGGACTGAGAACCTTCTTATCACTGGAAACATGTAGGCCGTCCTGTCTCTGGTGCTCTAAGGCCCTCTGTGAAGTGTCTAGGTAGGTTCACATGGTTCCATCAGCATTCCTGACCCTTTCATCAGAGGCCTTGTGTCATATACCTATACCATTACTCACCCTCACCCCCCATTTCAAAGTGTGTAAATAGTACATTCACAAACTTGAATGACCCTTTCCAATTCCAAAACATTTCATTACCCAACCCCAGAGAAGCCTTTTACCCCTTAATAGTCATGCCTCAATCTCCCCAGGTCCTATTAACCTGTACCCTGGGTCTTGTCCCTGAGGATCTGTCTGCCTGCTGTGAGTGTTATATGAAAACAGAATCACTATGTGGTTGAGGCTTTTCTTAGCTTAGAGAAATGTCGAGTCCTTAATTCTTCTTCCTTCAAGTGTGTGTTGTGTCTCTGAGCTGGCCCCAACCCCCAGACTCAAGTGATCTTGCTGACTGCAGATATTCCAACTTCTTCTGTCCTAACGATTTACTGTACCTTCTTATAGACTTCAGGTGATGCCTATGACCAGTTCATGCCATCCTCTGGGCTTGTCTTCCTTTTCTGTATCTCTCCCTCCTCTCACATAGGCCCCTTATTCCATCGCTGCATGTTTCATGTCATCCTGCTTATTTATGCCTCATCTTGGAAAGGTGAGGTGGCCCTTGCTGTTGTGCCTGAGACCTGGCCTTCAGGTGCAGCTTGCCCTTCACATTTTTCCACAGGAGTCACACAAGCCCCAGAGGGCTCTAAGCCTAGACAGTTCAGTTCCAGGGGTTCATGCTGACGGGAGGTATAAGGTCCTTTTATTCTGGTCACAACTGCTCCCATGGGGTCAAGCATGCACACACACACACACACACACACACACACACACACACACACAAGCTGAAAAGGAAAGACCCAGTTTCTCTAAAGAATATTGTCTGGGACTCTCAGTGTACCATGAGGCCAGGGCCATACTACACTCTTTGGAGCACTCCTGGACAAGATGACAGCTGTTCAAGTCTCCAAGATACCTTGGGAGCTGTTGGGGCCTCTAACCTGCCCAGCGCTGTACCCTTTTGTCAGGAGTCTAAGACACCTGCAAGTCAGATCTCAAAGGCAGTTCTCTGCTACTCCATCCCTCCCCTCACCCTCACATAGTGGAGGTTCCCACGACTCTGCTGCCCCCCTGAGCCCAGACCAGTAGCCCTGAAGACCATCCCACTTTAGGCTACAGCTGCATGTACCCTGTGACCACCCTCCCACATGTGTTGATTGTACTGCCAGACCAGGGAGAAGACCTCTACCTGCATGCTCCCAGCTACAGAGGACGATCTCCCAGACCATCTATTAACATGCTTGTGGCGATGGTTTTTATCTGGTAGGAACACTGCTCTGGTCTCAGACGTGCAGCATTGATGGCTGTGTGCCCCTGGTCCCCCTTGCATTGTTGGAAACTCCAGTCCTGGCCCCAGCAGTTGAAAACAAGCCTTTCTTCAAGAAGGGCAGCACTGCTGCAGCTCTGGCAAAGAGGCAGCAATGTCCACCTTGGGAAAGAAAGCCTGGGAGACTCAGCCTATCAAAGCCAATGCTGCTGCTCACTGTCCTTGCAAAAGCCCTGTCCTTTAATCCTTGACCCACAGCCTGGTAGAGCAGTTAACATCTTCTAGACACTGAATTGCTTATTTTCTGGGCTCTAGGCAGAGCAAGGTCAAACCAGAACATCAGGTGGCCAAACTGAGAGGAAGCTGTACTTAGAGTACAGTGGAGTGCTGACTCCCTGTGTTCAAAGCATTGACTTCCCCAAGGAGACCACAAAAAGGGCTGTTCCCAGTGCAGGACTTGTGTACAGTAGGGCTTTGAGGTTTGGCCACCCAAGTTTTCTGGCTGAACATAACAGTGCTGCTGGCGCTCTGTGGACCTTTAGGGACAATGTATTCTTCACTTTTTCTGTAATTGCCACAGCCACATAGAAGCTGTGGTTTAGGAGTGGGCTGGGGTATGTGACTAGCTCTCACACTGGTAACTTGATCTCTCCAGGTACATACAGACATTGAAGGACCACAAGCCTCGAGTGGTGTGGGACAACCAGGCTGCAGAGCACTTCTTTGAATACAAGAAGTGAGTAACTTGTAGCCCACCAAGTTGTAAGCAGGAAGCTTTGTGGGGAGGACACTGATGAGGGAGCAACAGGGAATGGGGAACGGTGAGGGCCCAGGGCTGGTGGACCTTAACCCTGTTGCAAGGGGAGTGTAGCCCTTGGGCCTACCTAGAAGGCAGGGTTCATGGTCCCATTTCTTCTGCAGGAATCGCGGCGGGAGGCATGTTGTCTTCTACCCAACTCTGAAGGTATGTGCCATGTGTTTTGCTTGTCAACCTTAATGCTGTGGTGGGGGTTACAGTTTTGGCCAGATGATATCAATGGTATCAGTACTTGCCATCTGCATTGGAGGTCTGTCCTGTGGTCTTGATTCCAGGCCACACACTGTCTCCATGTTTATGATAATTCTGGGTACGCTGGGGTAGTAAGGAAGTGGCTGGAGCAGGTGCCTACACCCCTGTCTGCCCCACAGTCTCTGCAGGTGCGGCTGGAGCTAGCCAGGGAGCTGGGCGTCGGGGTCTCCATCTGGGAGCTGGGTCAAGGCCTGGATTACTTCTATGACCTGCTGTAGGCTGGACAGCAACCCCCAAGTGACTGTGGACTTTTCTAAGCCATGGAGTGACTGGTGAAATATAGGTCTCTTCTCTATTTACTGTGAGACATCTGCTATGGTCCTCAGCAGGACCCACATGCATGGGTGTTTCTTGGCCCAGGATAAGAACTGGGGCCCTTCCTGCTCACTACTCACTGCTGCCTGCTGTGAGCCAGATGAAAAGAAAACACAGCTCCCATCCCCTAGGACAGTTCAGCTCTGGGCTCAGGCCTCTTGAGTGCTTTGCAAGGTCTGTGTGGGATGTGGGTTTGGAAGATATGAACAATGACAGTCTTCTAGTCCTGGCAAAGATAGCCCTTCCTAGCACCACCCTAAAGCCTGACAAGGGCAGTATAGAGGGCCCTGCCTTCACACTATGATCACCTGCCTACCACAGACACAGGTGTGTGTTCAAGGTGCCTGATGCCTGCAGCAGGTGCTACACCTATCCCCACTGAGCTGGATGTGACCAGGTTGTGAGACCAGGTTGGAAACTGGCCCAGAGAAGCTGCACTTATTTCTGTGAAATGCCCTGGGCCATAGTCCAGACTGTGTCCACCAGAGGATAGGATAGGGCTTGCCTATGGAGCAGCAGGAAGACCTGTGGGCTGAGTGGGACTGGTCTCATGAGACCAGAGGGGCCTATCTACCCTAATGAACAGGCTGAGCCAACGCTGGGGAAATGTCCAAGAATTCTGAGGCACCAACAGGTGAAGAATAGCTGACCCTTACTTCCTCACCCCTTCATGTGTCATCCCCTGCTGGGTATTATCTCAAGGTAGTAATTCCTGGTCCTGCAGGCCCTTGGGTAGAGCTAGCCAAGGCCTAAGCTATAGAGGCCAGAAACTCTAACCAGGACTCTGCCCTGTGAGTTTCTGAGATCTGTAACTCAGGATCCTGAGTGTTAGGGATGGGGAGGATGCTAAGACAACAGGGCCAGGCCCAACCCATGAAAGGCATGGCTAAATCCCTCCCACTCAAGAGTTGCTTCACAGTGGGCAGTCTCACCTAGACATCAGTTGAACCACTACTGACTACAACCTACTTGAGTAGAGACAGTCCCTGGCCACTCAGGTCAGTGTGGTCAAGGCTGATAACTTGGGGTGCTGGGTCGGGGGATCCCCAAGGTGGATAGACTCTACCAACTATCTGATACCTATAAAGGCTTTGGAGAGCTACACTGACCCCACTGGCTTTGGGAGAGAGAAGGAGTACTGCAGATACCAGATAAGGGGCGCAGCCAGGCCAGGTCGAGAAAGCCAGTGTGAAGGGACAGAGAGGCATTTTGGCCTCCTGTTTTATAAGAAATGGTCATCAGCATGTTCATATGTTATAGGGGTAGAAGTTGGGACACTGGCTGGCACTGTGGAGTCATGAAAGAGTTTGGTTCCGCACTGGTTGCCCTGTGATTCACTGAGCCTGGGTCCCTCCAGCCTTGACTCTGAGGGTTTAGTGGATGAGAGTACTTCTCTGAACATAAGGAGTGAATGGCGTGGGGCTTACCTAGTTTCAGCAGAGCACTGGTGAAGTGGCAGAAGTGGACTGGAGAACAGCCTGCTGTGAGCAGATGGAGTGACCAAGGTAGTATGGGGATAAAGCAGTATAGGTCCAAGAGTGTCACTGGCAAGGGTCCTAGTTGGGACAGAGAGCCAAATGGTAGGAGTAGATGGGAACACCTGAGCCACAGAAAAGTGGGAAGCCAGTTCACCTTGATTTTTCTCCCCCTCCTTGGTGCTGGAGATTGATTTGAGAGCCATGCAGGGGCATCCCCACTGAGCAATAACCTTCAGGTTCTAGATTTCCAAGTTGAGGTGTGCAGAGGGCTGTCGAACTACCAGACTGACTCATGGATAGAAATGCAGTCAGTGAGGGTCAAGGCACTGTAGGCTGTCAGTGGCTATAGCGAGTTGGTCACCATGAGCCATACATGAGAACTGCTTAGCTTGGGGGTGAGAGGGAGGAGAGGGCATCCTGGAACCCGAATGAAGCTTTGAACACAGTGAGTTAGCGATACTCTGAGTACAGCTTCCTTTCAGTTTGGCCATCTGTAAGTAACAGGGCTTTTTGATAATTAACAGCTTGTCTGGAGCAGCTGACTCTACAGTAATTCTCAGAGGTTGTTCAGGGTCCTATGGCTTTCACTAGAGGGAGGACGGTGGGACACAAGGACTCAGCCCAGAGCCAGGGAATGGGGAAGGGTAGAAAAAGTCCTACAGATAATTGGATCAAATTCTCTCTGTTACATGTCACACTCAGGTGTGAGAGTCATGAGGATGACCCCTAATGAACTGTCACAGAACAGGCCCCTCAAGACAGCAGAATGTGGGGATTGGGAGTCAGATGCCTCACAGTTCCTGAGGGTGCTCCTGGGAGGTGCTCATCTTAAACTGAACCCCCAGAGTATCAGCCTATAGTCAGAGGCCCTTTACCCCTAGTTAAGAACACACTGCCTTTGTCTTGATGGTGGCTTGATGCTCTAACTCTGGCCAGTGGCAAGGGCTCTGTCTTCTAGTGTTGCAATTTGCAGTCTACGCAGACTAATCCAGGAGCAGAGGCACTAGGAGAAAGATACAAGGGTACCTAAGCTATCCCAGGAGAAATGGGAGAGGACAGGGGCTATCTCTTCCCCCGACAAAAACAGGTCAGGAGTGCTCCCCTGACCTCTGCTGACCCTTGGCTAATGAAAGAACTTCCTCAATTGAAGTCTGTGGCTGTACAACCTTTGTGTGTCCAGCTACACACAGGGACTGCCCACATACTTTATTAAGATGCACCTGGAACCACGATACTGTCATGGAATGTGGATCATTGGACCTGGCCCTGCCTGGAGCACCAGTACCATCGTGGACCTTGTGCAGACTGGGCCTGCCCTCCAAGCCTGGCATCTGTCCACGCAAGGCTGGGGACCCCATCCTGTGTGAACACTGGAATATACATGGATATAAAAGTGTCAAAGTTCCCTGGGCCCTTAGCCCTGGGTGCCACTTGGCACCAACCCTATAATCTGGTAACTCTGCAGCCACCCAAGCAGAGGCCCTTCAGGTGCAGGGATGGGTCCTGGGTGCTCTGGCCTCAAGCTCTTCCCCTTGCATGCAGCGGAGCACCAAGTCCTGCATGGGAAGCGGGTTTGGACATCTCCCCATCGGCAGGTCCTTTGGCAGAGAAGCAGAGGTTGTGAGACCTATGCGCAGTAGGTGTCCGCCTTTACCACCTGGCAGTACATGGTCATAGCGAAGGTGAGGCCCAGAATCTGTGGAGACAAGAGGTTACAGGCCTTTGCCCATAGGCAGTGGTGCCCTGACTGTACTCAAATTGGGCTTCCTGGGACAGCCTAGTATCACCCTACTTGTGTAACTCATCCCCAGGCTAAGTTGTGCTCTGTACATTAGGTCACACCCCTCTCCACACCTGGTCTAAGCCCTGCCACGTATCCTACTGCACCCAATTGTCCAAGCTGTAGCCACCTGAGTATCTGCCAGGTGGATTATGGGTCTGTCCCACTTAGCCTGGAGCATCACACTGCCAATCCTCAACACTTCTCTAGATGGCTATGAACCTAGGAGAGGAGGACATCAAGGTCTCAAGTACCACCCTCATTCTGCGCTGGGAAGTTCTGTCACTACCAACCAATATGGCAGTCTGGCTGCCAGGGAGTCAGTACTCCCAGTGGGCAGCTCTTGGTCCACAAGATACCAAAGGTCACCTCCTCTAGTGAACTTCTGAGATACCAGCTTCTTAAAAATCTGCATTGCTACCTACTACCCAGGTCACAGACTTCTGAAAACAAGTCCTCTGCCATTGTGCTCTCTGGTCAGGAGCCCCAAGCCCTGCCCTGTTGAGCTTACCTGCACCAGTGCCGTGCACAGTCCAAAGATGCCCACAGCTAGCAGGTTCTCCTGGAGCCAGGCCTTCACTGTCTCATAACAGGGCTACAAGAGAGTCAGGATTACTTGGGGGACCACATCCCTGCAGCCACCCACCAGAGGAGGGAAAAGCTCTTACCGACTTCCACCAGGTCCCAGGTTCATGTAACCCACAGCTGTCACTGAACTCCAGACAGCAGGAGTCAGGCACACGAGTGGCATTGTATACCTCAAACCAATCAGTGTAATTGGAGACGCCACAGCAACGGAACTAGGAGCAGGAAGAAAGCAAAGGTCCAGGTGGAGAGGTAGCCACAATACCCACCCCTGCCAGCCTGTCCCACCATACCAAGACGGCTGCCCAAGCCTCACATCGGTCTGTATGATGCTCCAGGCGTTGGTAAGGCCCACATTGCCCTGTGTGCCATATAGATGCAGGCCTTTCTTCAGGTCTTGCTGTGCATAACTGTCAATCTGTTAACAGGTCATCAGTGAATAACCTCCACTTCAGTCCAAGGCAGGACACCATTCCTCATCGATGCCCCATGCCCCCTTCCCCCAGAACTCTTGCCTGTTTCCCTACTATCATCCACAGAGTACAAGCCCAGGCTTGTGTCCTCCCTGAAGCTCCAAGGATCCTGATGCAGGCCTTTGCCCTATCGTCTCTAGGTTTCCCGTGTTGGCTGGGGAGGACTGCAGTCTACTTGCTAAGACAAGCAGGCATGTCTGCTCTACAGCTGAGGGTGTGGGCACCATTCCTAGATCTCCAGGAAAGGAACTAGGGCACTAAGGAGGGCAACTCCAGCCTGTACAGGGAGCCTCCTGTAGTCCAGAGGTGCTTTACAGAAAGGAGGTCCTATGGGAAAATCAAAGACACAGGATCTGGGAACATAGCACTAGCTGTAACCCAAGATCCTAAAATATGTCAGTATACACATCCAACTGTGTGACCAGACAGATGGGTATGGGAAACAACCCATGACACACAGTACGCAGCAGGGGGTGACTGGGACAGTGTACACTCAGCAACCTGCACTCACTAGAGGGCCCTGGCCAAGTATTCTTGTCCCACCCATACAACACAGGTCGCTGTGGCTTCACACTGTCTCTCTGCACTCTCCATGTGCTGTCCATTTGCGGCAACATACCTTGTCACTGTAGGCAAAGAAGAGCACGGCAATGGTGACTTCCAGCAGGAACACCAGCAGTAGCAGCACAAAGAACTGTAAAGAACATGTTCCTTAGTCACAGCCCTGCTCCTGGAGAGCCCTAGAGCTTCCACCACCCCATGGAACTCAGGGCCAGGCCAGACTGTCCCCCTGAGCCTAAGTGGTCTGCGGGCCTGGATTCTACCCCCGTGCCTGACCTAAACATCCCCATGTGGGTGTATGTCTCTATTCCCCAGGCTCCTGGCCTGACATCTCTATCTGGGATTCTCCCCCATACTGGGATGTTAGGCAAGTATTCTACAGCTGAGCTCCATTCCCAGCTACAATTTGGGAATTTAAAAGAGATTCCAAATACCACTTATCAAAGGCCTATAAACATTCTGCAGTACCCCACTAAAGGAGTGGGGGGGGGGGGGTGGAACAGCTTGTCTCTACAAGGAATTGCCCTGAGCAAAATCCTACCCCAGGAAGGAGAAAGGAGCCATTCAAATCCTGTTAACATGGGGCTTCAGTCCACCTGCCATGCCCCTCGAGGCCTCTGCCAGGCACACTAATTTGTAAGAGCCTCCAGGAATCCTTTTCTAACGACCTGTGATTAACTTTATAAACTGTGGAGGAAGAAATAGCTTCCTCCCCATAAATATATTCCCAAGGCCAAATGGTGCTGGGAGTGCCACAGAGGGTGGGGGCAGGGGCAGGTCCAGGACAAGAAGCCGGGGTGGAGCCACCACAAGGATGAGTCTCAGAACAGTGTAGTAAAGGCCCTTGTGGCTATGCCTAAGTTCGTGGCCCTGTCATGAGAAGCCCCTCCAAGCGCTGGTATGGTGTCTGTTTTGTGTATGTGGTGTTGAAACTCAAACTCACAGCCTCATGCATATCATACACACATTTTTCTAGGCTATATTCCCAATGCCTCCCCCTCTAAACTTTATAGTTTATCTATATACATTGGTGTTTTGCCTGCATGTATGGCTGTGTGAGGATGTTGGATCCCCTGGAACAGGGGTTACAGTTGTGAGCTGCCATGTGGGTGCTGGGAACTGAACCCAGGTCCTCTGGAAGATCATCAGTGCTCTTAACCCCTGAACCATCTCTAGAGTCCCCCCCCCCCCCCTTTAAACCTTATTTTGAGAGATGGGGTCTTACTCTGTGCCCCAGACCAGCCTGGACCTCATGCTCCTCTTGCCTCAGCCCACAGACCCAGCTGTATTGTGTTCTCTTGATTAACCCCTCTAGCCCCACCTGGCCTGGAAGAACCCACAGAGACCTGGTGCTGGACAGGCCCCAGAGGTGGAGCTGATGGCATGGAGAGCCACATAGAGGGACCCAACACACTCACGGTGAGCAGTAGGCACTTGTTCTCCTTGAGGGCCCCAATGCAGCCCACGAAGCCGATGGCCATGACGAAGGTACCGGTGACGATGAGTAGATTAGCAGCCGACAAGGATGGGAATGAAGATGATAGGGTAGCAAAGTTTCCCTGTGTGGCAGCCAACCAGATGCCAACACCAAGGACGCCACAGCCACCCAGCTAGGTCCACAGCAATGGGGAGAGAGAGAGAGAGAGGTTGAGGTGACTGCAGGGCTCCTGACCCCTAGGGCAAGGCTCCCACCACCCACAAGCACTCAGGCCAACATTGTCAGCCTGGGAACTACCAGAGACAGCTTAATTCCTATGGCAGAGTACCACTCCTCAAGTCCTTTCCCTCCTCCCTTTTGACAGTGGCCAGTGAGACCATGCTTTTAGATGCCCTTCAGGAAGCATCCACCATCCCATGTGTGTGGTCAGAAGGGACCAAATCGCCTCTGGCCCTCTTACCCTGCACCTTCCTTCCCCATACCCTACAGAGGCCATGGCAGTTGAGTGACCCAGACCTACCCATAATCCCGAGCAGGGAAAAGCCCTGTCTAGAAACACTTCTGCTCATAGTCAGGTTACAGTAGATCCGTGGTACCAACCAGAAGATCTCAACAGAGCACCTCACTGAGTTTCATCACTTTTTATTTTTGTTTTTTTGAGACAGGGTTTCTCTGTGTAACCCTATTTGTCCTGGAACTTGCTTTGTAGGCCAAGCTGGCCTTGAACTCAGAGATCCAATTGCTTCTGCCTCCCAAGTGCTGGAATTAAAGGTGAATGCCACCACACCAGGCTCTCATCACTCATTTTTTAAAAATCAGAAAAATAGGAAGCAGGGAAGGAAGACATGTGGTTGTTGACTCTAGAGAGGACTCATCATGGCATGGTGACAAGGACATCTAGTCTTCCTCAGATTACAGGGCCGCCATGGGAGAGGGAAACTATGGTCTCAAGCTTACAGGAAGCCTTGGGCTCTGTCAAATTGGGAGGAGGAAAGATGCATTCCAGGAGGCTGGGGATGGATCAACAGCTGATGGGAAAAAGCCTGGCAGCCCAACAGAAAACTGGACAGGACATGGCACAGGAGCCCATAATGTAGGCTCTGACCTAAGGTTCTGAGTTCCAGGTCGCTCCTGGAGACATTACTGTGGAGTCATCGGGATGCAAGGGACCTAGAAAGGCTGCCCATATGGGAAGCCCTGGACCCTGGAGAAGGTTCAGGGAACCTGCCAGAGAAAGGTGTGCATATGCCCTGGGTGCCTTCTACTGAGAGTTCCATCCTCACAGCTACATGGCAGCTCTGGTGAGCCAGTCTACAGAGAGGCCTCCTTTGAGGTGGGAGGGAGCCCTGCAGGGCTGCAGTGGCTGAGAGGTGGCGCTGTCTGTGGTGTTTACCAGGTAAGGCAGCTGGATGGGCTGGGTACCCCCATTCAGCCTGTGAGTCCCCCTAATGGAGATCTGGTCAGGTGATAATCACCAACCACAAGGCACATCATTCCACAAACACAAGGCTACTGGATGTAGGAAGCTTCTCCAGGGCCATGGCAAGCAGGGCAAGACTCATGGTCTCCAGCAGTTTCCAAGCATCATAAGGTCTTCCAGGACCCAGAAGGGTGACTCACAGGTTATGGAAGGACCTCCATGGCACTGTCACTACTAGGCAGAAGTAATACCCTGCTTGCTACCTTGGGCTGGATCAGAATTACCAAGACTGAAGCAAGAGCAGGAGAGCAGGACTCCCCACCTTCACTCCACAGTGTACCTGCCCTGGAAGAGGTGGAAGTCAAAAGTAGCAAGAGGCCTCAAGAGACACCAACCCACAGGGCTGACTTCAGGAATAACACTGCCCCAGAGGCGCCATGACCCCAAATGAGTCACATCTGGAAAGGTCACATCCAAGCTGAGCACTCATGCTTATAATGGCAGGACCTTGAACAGGAGGGAGATGCTGGTACAACAGCAATAAATGTCACTAAGACCCAAGCTGTCTGCACCATCCGCCTCTGCCTTCCAAGGACAGCAGACGGCTCATGTCAGCAGGAAAGTGAGCTGTTGGAGCGCCCCTGGCCCCACGGGACCCACAAGGGCATGGGGAGGACACTGCTGTGCAAAGCAGTTGGAACCATTAGGGGTGGGGGGAGATGCCCATTCCAGGAGACCAGGAAGGGACAGTTTCCAGGACAGGACTGGCAGGAAGGGACCCCACACCCAGAAGAGAAACAGTCTCCTTCACTGACACGGTGAGACGTGCTTCCCTCCACCCAGAGACCGCTGGAAAGACATCCACTCACTGCCACACAGCCTGTCACCCTTACTGTGACAAACACCAGCCCAGATGCTCCCCACTGCCACCCAGTGGTGTCACATGCATTGCCGCACACAAGCAGCACATCCAGAGCCGCCGCCATCCCATGGGGCCAACCCTCTCAGCCTAAGCCAAGGCCACATGCATGGGTGCACTAATGAAATCGTGCATGTGGTAAGAGCACTGTACTTATAATTTTGAAAATGTTTTGGTGCATGCAGCTTTTAAAACATTATGGCAAGAAAATTACAGCTTCAAAGCTCAAGAGAAAATGGGCCCATTAGACTCAGAAGATGAGAAATGCAGGACTCAGGGCTGAGCCCTGGAGGCCTAGAGCAAGGTCTGTCCTCAATCAAAACTGGAGATGGGGCTAAGACCCCCCACCCCAAATCTACAATGTTCCCCCAGCATCCTGAGCCCCATCTCCTGAAATAGACCGCCTCCCACTGCTGGCTCACTCCTCTGCAGCTGTGACCCCAGGCTACACAGAAGCCCTGGTGGGGAACAGAGCCTGCTCCCCACAGCAGTCTTTAGAGAACCTGGACTCCTGAAAGACAGTAGCTGGCAACATCATTCAGGAGTCGGACCTCCTGCCACCGTGACCCTCCATCTTTGCCTTCTGGCTGATCTTCATGCAGCATTCCTGGTTCCAAGCACAGCCCGTCTCAGCCAACTGCTAGGCACTCTGCTAAAATGCCCAACAGTCCCTGAGAGGTGTAATGAGCTGTCACCCAGGCACCACCCAAATCTGTGAGCAGCAGGTGCCTTAGCCTCTAGCCCCATGGATCAGCCTCAGGTTGAGTGCCATATGGTACTGGGTGCCCAACAAATATGCTTGTTTGTCCAGGTCCACAGAGGGTAGGTGCCAACAAGCCTCTACCCACCACCCCTCCAGCCATATAGTTTAATGTAGCAGATGGCCGGGCAACCAGCCACATCTTTGGTGGAGGTGTAGGTGGAGGGGCTGGGCACCCCTGAATAAGCCAAGACTATGTCCAGAAACCCCTCTCCTGCCAGGCTGGCAGGAACCTTCCCCATCTTGGCTGGGATGTTGGTTATCCCAGTAGGGTGACTTTGTGCACTTATAACTGAATGGACGCCTGGGGATGTAGATGAGTTAGTGGAGTGTTTGCCAAGCATCACTGCCTTAGATAGCCAGCCCCACATAAACCATGTGGGGTGGTGCACTCCAGGGGTTCCTGGAACTTGAAAGGTGGAAGCAGCAGGGCTAGGAGTTCATTGCCATCCTAAGTAAGGAAAGACTAGGATAAGTGAGAGTGTCTCCGAATACTTTAAAAATGTAATTCGTTTTCTCGCAACTCAGAACATTGCCAGAGCCAACACCTCAAAGAACAAACAAGACCATGGCTTCCTGCATTGGGCAAGTCCCTGCCACCCCTATCACAAATATAAGCTGTTAGAGGAAGCAAAGAGGTCTCTCTGTCCCTGAGTGCCCTGGTTCTTCCAAGGAGCTGGACACAAAGCCCTTTGCCATTTCCTGGTCCCCTCATCCACCAGACTGAAAGTGCCAGAGACCAACAACAGGACCACTGTCCATCAGAAACCATCTCAGCTCAGCAAGGGCAACAGACAACCAAGAGCCCAGCAAGGCATGTGCCCTGCATCTTCCTGCCAGTGTGGAGGCAGATCCCTGCGCCCGGCAGACCCTTCCTTTGGGACAGCATAAGGCAAGGTCCTGAGGCTGCAATGGTGACAGCCCAGGCAGAGCAAGGCCTGAGTGGGGACCCAGTCCCCTCCATGAAGGACAGACAGGTAGAGCTTGACTCCTGAACCTCCTCCAGCTCAGGGCCTCTGTCCAGCTGCTCATCCATCTAAGGTCACCACAGGCCACCTGGGGGAGGGGGAGCTGAGGGACCCTGACCCATATACTTTTGGATCACCTTGCATGACGCAGTGTGGTCAAGATGGAGAATCTGAGACCCTAAGAATATATGATTTTCTCAGGTCACACAGTATCTAGCTGGCAGGCATGACTCCAACCTCCATCTTGTTCACCCAAACAGACACTGACCATTCCATGCAGGGAAGAGCCATACCTTTTGCTACGCTGAGGAATGGGGAGGGACACCTGCCTGAAAGCCCTAGAGGAAGGGCCTCATATTGGTGGTACATGTGTGGGAGGAGCCAAGCACATGGTTCAGGCCTGGCTAGCATCTCTAGCACTAGGACACAGAAGAACCACAGAAAGGTCCTTCCCTTGCTGAGGAGTTCAGTCCCAATCACCACAGTAGCTGCCCAGGAAGACAGATGCTCTGTGAGCCCAGGGAAGGAGAGGGCAAAGGAGAGAGGAGGCAGGAAGAACCAGGCTCCTCTGGCTCCCCTTGATCCCAGGGGACCTCAACTTCCATTATAGGAAGAGCTTTGCTGGCAGAGGCCCAGCTGACAGTGCAGGCTCAGAGGCTTGAGACAGGGGTGCCAGGGGCTGTTCAGCCCCACCCCCTTGCTGCCAGTGACCAGCACCCAACACCACCTACCCACTCAACTGTGTTCAAGGGCCACTTCCCTGAGGCACTCCCAGCCCCAACCAGCTAGTCCTTACCCTGCACATCTCAAAGGCAGGTTGGGCAACCGCCCTAAGAACTGAGCATCACTGCCCAGTGGGAACCTGTTTGCTGAAGGAAGGCAAGGGCTCGTTTGGTTGCCACACAGATCTAGGGGGTCAGTGCAGCTCTCACTCCAGTTGCCTGGTTAAGTCTAATAGGGAGACTGAGGCAGGACATATGGCAGAGGCTGGGGTCCTGTCTACTGATCTTACATTATAAGTGCCAAGTGAGGATTGAAGCCTCTCCTACAAGAGTCTGGCAGAGGAGTCAGGGTCTCCAGTAGGGGTGTTCTGGCCCTCCCACCATAGCCTGTCACCAGCAGGAGGGGAGTTTAGTTCACAGATGCCAAGGACAAGGTAGACTGGCATCATACTAAGCAGGCCAGATGGATGAACTGTCACACTTGCTAGCCCTGATGGACTCTGCCAAGCCCAGCACAGGCACTTCTAGGCAAAGCCATGCTGTTCACAGCACCCTTCACGTGGTTGCCTCTACCCCTTCACTGGGAATCAAGCTGGAGGGAGAAGCTACAATGATATTGAGGCATGCGCCCCTGTATGCAAGGCTGGAGGTACATGTGGATAACAGAAGGGAACTAAACCTAGTTCAGCCCAGAAGAGTCCCACGGGGAATACTCATTGTTTCTTTCCCCGGTAGAGGATGTCATCCAGTGGTCAGTGGCATGCGCCTGCTCTGTAGCAGGTGGGACCTTCTCCCTGTGGCCAGGTGTCCAGATCATGAAGAGGGCAATGAATGCAGCCGCCTCAGCCTCCCCAGACCAAACACTACCCAGAGGCTGCCCAGCCCCCACACTCCTGCCTGCTAACCCCCTTCTGCCACCTACACCAGCTGCTACCATCACAGGGACCTACAGCTGTCAGGTCTGGTCATAAGGTTACACTCATCCCCCTGTCACATTGTCCTTTGCAGTGGGCTTTTCCCACCTGTCATTCCCCTCCGCACCCCACTGTCACAATGTCAAAGACATCCCATTCCTGCCAACCACAGTTGCCACTGGCCACACACACTGGTGCCCACTGAAGTCCTTCAAACGGAAGCATTCACCTTACATGGGCTGC